AGAATGATTTCTGAAGGATCATGTGACACCGAAGACTGGAGTAATAATGCTGAAAATTCAGCTTTGCATCCAAGGGATAAATTACATTTCAAATATTGTTCATATTTCAAATAGTAATCATATTTCACAATTTCACCCTTTTTTACTGTATTATAGATCAAATAGGAGAAGCTGTTATGGGGAGCATAAGAGACTTCTTTCAAAAACATTAACGCATCTTATCGACCCTAAAACTTTTTTTGTTGCATTGGCATATATTTTTTTTTTTACACATAAACCTGACTTTGTTATTAATTTCTTCTAACAGTTGTTTAATTGCAAATGACTGTATACATATTTTTTTAAATATTTCCGAAATGTTTAATATAAAACTTTAGAGGTTTCAGACTTAGTTTACTAATCGCAATCTTTTCTTACAGGCATTGGTGTTGATGACATGTTCATCATGATTTCTAACTGGCAGCAGACTAAAGTAAAGGATCCAGTGGAGAAGAGAATGGCTGAAACCTTCAAAGAAGCCGCTATGTCTATAACTATCACTACATTGACTGATGTACTTGGCTTCTACATTGGGCTCATGAGTGAATTTCGCTCAGTTCGGGCCTTCTGCTTGTACACCAGCACATCCATTATTTTCTGTTACATTTATAACATCCTCTTCTTTGGAAGCGTTCTAGCCCTAAACGGCAGGAGGGAGCAGAGTAACGGACACTGGCTGACCTGCTGGAAACTCCCAACACAGACCCCTGAAGGAAAGTCCCCGGCGTATCGTCTCTGCTGTGTAGGTGGCGACTATGACCAAGAAACCGGTGCTGAGAAACAACAGCCCATAGCACACTTCTTTAAGTCCTATTATGGTCCATTCCTGACCAAGCCCTGGACCAAAGTCTGTGTGATGTTGTTGTATTTGGGTTATTTGGCTGGAGGCATTTATGGATGTCTTAATTTACAACAGGGCATTAATATGAGGGACCTGGCAGCTGATGATTCATATGTCGTAAATTATTATGATGATGATCGGAAATTCTTCTCCAGGTATGGTCCAAATATCATGGTTGTAGTGACAGAAGAGTTTCCATACTGGAATAAGAACAGCAGATCCAAACTAAACCACTGCATGGAAAAACTCCACAACTTGACATTTGTCAATCAAAATCTGACTGTCTCCTGGTTAGACTTTTACTTACAATTTGCTCAAAGCAAAAGCCTAAATCTAGACAACGAAAATGTCTTCATTGAGAATGTATCCTCTTTTTTCCTGCTCTATCCAGAGTTTAAGCTTGACGTTAATATCACAGAAAGCAAAATCAATGCTTCAAGATTTTTTGTCCAGACTTTGGATATTTCCAATGCCAGTATGGAGATAATGATGTTCGATGAACTCAGAAACACAGCTCAGAGCTGTAGTGCAGCTAAACTTCTAGTGTTTCACCCCTTGTTCATCTACTTGGATCAATATTCGGTCATAGTGACCAGCACCATTCAGACTGTGGGCTTCACCACAGCTGTCATGTTGGTCGTTGCCTTGTTATTAATCCCAAACCCGATCTGTTCCCTGTGGGTCACGTTCTCCATCGGCTCAGTCGTCACTGGTGTCACTGGTTTCATGGCTTTATGGGGCATCAACCTAGATTCCATTTCAATGATCATCTTGGTGGTGTGCATTGGCTTCACTGTCGACTTCTCTGCGCATATTTCATATGCATTTGTTTCGAGCAAAGAATTGACTGCCAATGAGCGGGCAGTTGATGCATTGTTTTCTGTGGGCTATCCCGTGCTACAAGGAGCTGCCTCAACAATAATAGGCGTGCTCATTTTGGCTGCATCCAAGAATCACATTTTCAGGACCTTCTTTAAGATTATGTTCCTCGTTATGCTTTTTGGTTTGGCTCACAGCATCATCTTCATCCCTGTGTTTCTGACCCTACTGTCCTGCAGTTCAACCAAAGCTAAGAAGAAAACAACGACTGTGCCTGATGTTATTCCAAAAGTCATTATGATTGAAAACAAAAGCACGGCTTATGATAACTATGCTTTTACTAAGGACAATTCAACACAGAGTACTCAGATATATTTTATTCCAAAAAATAAGTTGCCTTCAGGTTGGTGCCATGACCCGGACTGTCCATAGAAACTGAGTGTACTTTAGTCTGTATTCTTTAGTTTCTCTGTGATATTCAGGTTGCATGTTCTTACCAGGTTCATTTAGCAGATATGTTATGGTCCTGCTTATTGGCTATTGACACAGGTTGAAATTGTATATATTGTTTATTTTTATGTAAACTGAAGCAACATATCAAATCTCATATGTGCTGTCTGTCATCCTAGGTCCCAGTGGTTGATAATACATTCCTTCATGCACCTTTCGCAACACATTGTGAGTGGTGCTAAAAGTGCGTTCAGTTTTATCTGAATTGAAACGTGAATTTGACATTAAGTTGGTCGTTGTACGTGTCGTGGAAGTTCGGAAATGAAACTTCAGTGAGTGGTGCTGAAAGGTTAATGGTCTATCACATTTGAATATAACTCAGTACCTAAACTAAACCCTGCCCTAAACCTAACTGACAGTGTTAACAAAAACAAATGGGAAATGAAATGCATTTGCTGAACCAACCATGCCATTGCAGCTTGCTTCTACAAGTCTTCAACTTGATTCTTATTTCATGGGACTTGTTCCTGAGCGCTCTACAATTCAAGTGCAATCTGTACCAGGTGGGCTACCGACTAAGTTTACCACATCAGAAAGCCATTCATATGGTTGTATGATAAAAACATTGAAATGTATTACATTACAAATCATGCTCTATGATAAAAGTGTCATAATATAGTATTGTACGAGGAACCATGGAAAAATAAGTCTTTATTAATCGATAATTTGTGTCAAAAGGAATTAAAGTTTAACCATTTTAACAGTTGTACTGCCTTTAGTGTTCATTTCAGTTACTGCAGTGAATTGTCTCTATAGGTATGTTTCTGGAGTTTTGCAAAAATGTAGAGGCACATTTTCTCAATGAGTTTGTTAACATGCACCCTCAAAATGCAATTATAATGGAATTTTGACACCCTATAGGCTGTTTATTAGTGGTCTCTGCTAAGAAAGCATCATTCATTCAAGCATGTCATTGGGAAATCTAAGGATAAAAATTGGACATTAAGAATTACAGACTTATGTCATATTACTT